ACATGAATCAGAGAGAGGCCACACATCAGAATCCACTTGCAACAATATCTGCCATTTTCCCATGCAACATCCAGCAAGTTACTGACATACTGAAGGCAGTTTTGAGGACATGTAACTACCATTATCCTTTCTCTTGTTAACCAAGAAATATCTTCTATTTTAGTTTTTTACTAAGCACTTCACGCCCTGGTTTTTGCTTCCTTTACAAATGTTTGGCATCATCCCCAATAACCTCCTCAATCATACCATAACTAAACAGTCTGTGCAGGTGCTCAAAAGGTTCCCTGTCCATTCAAATCTCCCCTTGCACCCGTTTGTCTCAAGTCCCCTTCATAACCTTTAGATTGTAAGCCCACAAGCCAATGACTTTGTAATAAAAGGGCTGTAAATGCAAAATTTCAGCTCATGGACTGGGTCTACTATTCCTTTTGTATTTGTTTGTCTATACTCCACTGTCTATTTTCCCCCATTGTACTGCACTGCTAAATATGTTGGCGCTTTATAAATGCCAGTAAAAATAATAATAATCATGTAGTCTGTCATACATACATATATAGAAACATGGGCATAGGTACAGTCATATAAATAGAAACACAAACACATGCACAGACACATAATGATATGCATGACTAAGGCTATGGCCGAACCTTTGCTATTTTACACAGTTTCTCCTATATTCTCGCTTGAATAAACACACAGCAATTTATTTGTACTTCCTCCATGCACCCTTAATTTTTTCATGTATTGTTTATAAATCATACACCGTCACAACATTATCACACAATTACACAAACACATTAACATGTATACCAAGACACACAGACGCGCACACAGTGGTGTATCCTGGTTTCCCAGCCTCACTCTGCGGCGTGCGAGGGAGCTGAGCAGACAGCTCAAAGGAAGTGCTCCCTCGCCAGCCGCCTACCAGCACCGCTCGCCCAGCCCAGCAGCCCGCCCAGTAGCCAGCCCAGCAGCCCGCCCAGCATGTCAGTTAACCGCAAGGCTAACAAGACATTTGTCCTGGGGATTTGGGGGCAGCTTTTTTTGCCGCCCCCTGGAAAATGCCGCCCAAGGCAAATGCCTTGTTAGCCTCGCGGGTAAAACGTCCCTGCGCACACCTACAAAGTCACACACAGTCACATGCAAAGCCACTCACATGCATAGTCATATACATTCACAGATAGTCACTCACAGTCACATGTGCACAGTCATATACAGTAAGACCTTCACATACACTCAATCACATTCAGTCAGCCACACACACACATTCAATGGAACCCCTGCAGTCCAAGGTATCTAGCAATGGGGGGGCATGGACTCTTTCCTGTTTCCCCTCTGCATGTGGCTGTTGGCAGGCAGTGGGTGCTACACTCCCCCCTTGCTGCCTGCATTGTAATAGAAACTCCCCCATGAGATCCAGGTAGACGAAAAGCTTTGTGCACCCCCTCTTGCCTGTCACCCAGGGAGGACCCCCCTATTGGCACGGTAATAAGCAGACTGGTTTGCTTAAGTTTACATTTCAGGGACTTATATCTTTAAAATACTTGTATCTCCATTTTACAGCATCAACATCTGGCTTTCATTGCATGTATCATAGTCCACTTATTGCACCATTTGTATAAAGAATTTAATATAAAATTATGTAAGGGGAGTGATGTAACAAATGTGATGGTTTGACCTCAAGTTGGACAACTTGTTTGTAGTTGGTCCAAGGGCCTTATGTAGCCAGCCCTTCACTGGCCTTGAGGGATGGGTTGGGAAGCACTGATATAAGTATCAATATAAACATTTTAGAAATTCAACCATAATAACTATCTCACGTTCTAAATAGACTCTTTTGTTGCCTGTTTTATCTGCATTGTGATTGGTATGTCAAATGTTATTCATGTAAACTTTTGTCTTAGAAACAGGGCATGACATTTCCTGCCGTTTTGTAAAGCTATAATGAAATTATCAAGGACAAACAAATCACAAAATGACATAACTAAAATCGGATCATATAGCATATCTCATCGTGTAGCGTATAATAAGTCAGATCTGATGCTCCCCATTTGCTGTTAAAAAGCTGTTTGAACATTTAAAATGAGCATTAACAAGCTTATAATAATCGGCACAGAAATTTCATGTAACTGTAAGTTAAACAACGAATCCATTAATATAAGACAGTTATCTCATAAAAAAAAAGAAAGCACCGATTACCAAGGTACTTTATGTTAACAGTTCATTAAAAACTGCCAGCTTCAACCAGAATTTTGCTAAGTAGAAGTTAAAAAGCGAGCTACAGCATTAACTTGCCAATAGTTCTTTAGCCACTTAGAGAAACCTGCTGGTATCTTAATGAAGGGTGGGGGGTAGTGTAATGAACTACACAGAGCCTAAATAGATTCACATCTCTCATCTGGCACAGCTTCTATAATGACGATGGTTAACTGATGGATAGCCTTGCTAGCTGTTGAGGGCTATATTTTCAATAATGCAATCACTCATCAGTGTAACATAGGGTGAGCACAGGGCCAAGATGGCAGAGCACAAAATTCTTTAGATTCTAGTATGATTTCAGCCAATGGCATCGCTGGGAGGGGGATTGTGATCTGAAGCACCAGATATGGGCTTGCAAAAACCCACATGTTAAAATGTGTGCGCATTATTTCTGGATTAATGTATCCAGAAATGCTGCAAGGCTGAAAATAGCAGCTATTGGGTCATGAGAACAACGACGTGGGAAGTAAATGTCTGTGCACATGTGTGTATGTCTGTACATTCCTGTGTATGCGTGTGTTGCTATACATATGTCTTTACACAAGTGCATCTATACGTGTGCTTCTATATATACAGGAGTTTGTATCCATGTGTTTCTCTATTAGCATGTTTGTCTCCTATCTCGAAAAAATTGGTCTCAGCATCTGACCTGAATTCCAGAGGTGGAACTACCAATTGTCTACCCATTGTCTTGACCGCAAATGCTTTTTAGAATTGAATTAAGTTCTCTGTTCTCTCTTGTCCAGTATCCTTCATATCCCCTTATCCTTTGTATCTCACTCACCTTAGTGCCTCCCTCAACCCTCTAGTGTCTAGTGTCTCAATCCTACACTGTATACCAATTTACTTTTTTTGGTGTTTCTTTCCCACTCCCAGTGTATGTCTTCTCCCTTTGTCTTGTCATCTCCAACCTCCAACCAGCCTTGCTCCATTTTAGAAGTATCGCTTCAAGTCTTCCAAAGTGTCTTTAAAGGGACACTATAGGCATCCAGACCACGTCATCTCATTGAAGTGGTCTGGGTGCAGTGTCCTGTCCCCATTAGCCCTGCAATATAAAACACTGCAGTTTTAAAGAAACTACAGTGTTTACATTGCAGTGCTAAGCCTGCCTCTAGCGACAGTCTCACTGGGTTTGACACTATTCATGGAGACATCCAGTGTCAAGCAAAACCCCATAGGAAAGCATTGATTCAAGGTCTAATGCACGTGCATAGTGCACCGAGCATGCGCATTAGGTCACCCCCATTGGCTAACATCAGTGGGACCTTGTTGATGGAAGCAAGTGAATGAAAGGGTTTTTAAAGTCTTTCATGCACGAGGGGGCGTGAGAGCAGAGAAACACTTTAGTGTTAGGAATAAATCTTTGTGTTTCTAACACTAAACTGTTCCTTTAATTCTCTTCTCATCTATATTTATAATTTCCTGAAGTCTTTCCCCATTATGCCCCATGTATCCTGTTGTATCGGTACCAAATAGGATGAGTGGAGGCCTCCATCACTACTTTTTTAGCACATGATAAAATGTAATGAAGGAGGCAAGAGTATTACATTTTATACTGACCTGGTTTTAATATTTGTTCACTGGGACAATAGTAAAATAGGTCTATACAGCAGGAAGCACAGACCCATACCAATAAAGTGCAGCTGTTACAGTAGTGCCATGAGCCCCCTAGTGGCTGAGCTTTTTACTGGAACTCCAACTGATGAGAAATATGTTGAAAGGTGGTGGACTGTTGCTAGTTTTTACTTCAGGTAGGTGCCAATAATATCCTATGTTGAATATGAATTCTGCATTACCTATATGTCTGATGAGATGATAACTTCTGGGTGCCATGAAACACATCATTGTATTTCAACCAGATTCTAAATGATTTGATATAAAACTGAGGGACCATGCCCAGAGACCAGTGTAAGATAACCACTGCACCAAACTATGCAGGGTTATTTACTAAAGTGAGAATTAAAAGTGGATATCGAATTAAAGGTACAAATAGTCACAGTGGGGGACAGAGCCTGACCGCCATGGAGAGCACATGTGCTTTCGCTGAGCTTCTCCACAGCCTTGCTGTCAGGATTACTGTTTGATCCAGCACGTAGAACTGTACAGCACGGATGACAAATAAGTAACGTATTACCGGTCCTTAGAATGGCCGGATTTAACGTACAAAGAATAGTCAAAATACTAGCCAAGGTCAGGGAACACAGAAAGGGACACAGCGATGAGGAAAGCCAGGAGTCAGGATACCAGAATATAGAGAAGTCAATAAACAAAGCCAAAGTCAAAAACCAGGTAGAAAACTATAAACAGGAACGCGCTCTCAGACAACCACAAGGGAAACCACGACAGGGCACTGAGTAGGCTGAGAACTGGGCCTAAATACCCCTCCTTTAGTTCTGATAGGCTGTAACCGGCCTTTGACCCCAAAGTCAGTTACCAGGTTTCATTTGTATAATTGCTGCTCAGCATTAACCCTTCTGTGGATTAGGTTGCTGCTCGGCACAACTTTTCCTGTGTGGACAGTAAATGTCATTAATCACTTTTCTCTAAGCGGATGAATACATGACACCAGGTTTCATTTGAACAATTACTGCTCAGCATTAACCCTTCTGTGGATTAGGTTGCTGCTCGGCACAACTTTTCCTGTGTGGACAGTAAATGTCATTAACCACATTTCTATAAGCGGATGAATATGTGACACTTGCGACAAAAGGCAAGATTAAGCCTAATATTGCTCAAACCAGGGCACACCAAGCAAAGCTTTTTATCCCCAACACACCAACCATGCCGAGAAGCGATCAACGACCCGTTGGGGGACTCTTGGCTTCACCGTGGCGGAGAATGCCTAGTGTGCAGCAGGCGGGAGTGGCGGCCGAACTCCTGGACTGGAGAAGCCAAAGGTTGTCAGTCATGTACCAGTGCCCTGTTACTCACCCCTTTGGACCGGGGCGGGAGGATCCTAATCCACACCAGGGGAACTACCCAGCTCCAACAGAAACGTGATGTGCTACTGGAGAAAGCAGTGCCTTACCTGACATGGCGGACATGCTCCAGCGCTGATCAAGGTGACATCCTATCCAGGCAGGCTGGACGAACTCTTCTCAAACTTTTGGCAGCAACTGGAACGCCGGAAGCGCTCTCCTGCCCCTCCACCAATGACTACCTGCTGCTTACCATGGAGTTCCCCTCACAAGCTCTCAGATCTACCAGCGGGGAAAGTTCCAACATGGCAGCAGATCAAGCAACGCACTTCACCCAGAAGCAATGTGGCTCCACGGAAACCACTCATTAGACCACACACAAGATTGCAACTCCAGCCTGAGGTGGAGATTGGGACCCCAAAAGTGACCACATGTGGCTCCACGGAAACCACTCATTAGACCACACACAAGATTGCAACTCCAGCCTGAGGTGGAGATTGGGACCCCAAAAGTGACCACAGAGCTGACTTGCCTGCCTACATCTATGGGCTCTGCCATGCAGTGTGCCTGCTCAAGGTGGGACTGTGCTGTACTCCTAGTTGGCATAGGCTGAACAGGGCTCCGGTACTGAGATGTGAGTAAGGACTTTGGATGCTCACTATTGCTACCTGTCTACACGGCGGTATTGGTGACAATCATCTGTTTGCATTGATGGAAAATCCAGTATTACCACACATGTTCACCTGCTACCCATACAACTAATGTGGGGGCCTCCTGAGGGAACAAGCTACAATGCATCTTACTGTTTCAATGCTATATATGCTCCACTGTCAGTATATGTACACACATTAAGCAAAGTTAAGCTAGCATATTTCACACGATATTTCTTGTAAACTGTCAGTTACCATGACCAGACCTTAGCTTGCTGTTTCACTCATATACACTGACATACTCAATATTGTGTTTCCTCCTGCCTATATACATAAAAATTGTGCCAATATCTCTATTGCCACACTGTTATACTATGTGTTTTACTGATCTTGCTTCTGCTATTGGGGCAATGCAAAACTGTCCGTGATATGTGCACAACAAAAATTTAAAAAACAAAACAAAAATCTATAGTCACACTGGAAAATTCTCTACACCAGCTAAGCTTTCAGTTGGGGCTACTCTTGACTTAAATGTGAAATTCACTTTGACTGTACGTTTTAGTGAATAGTAATGATAGTGTTGTAGTGTTGCTCTGTTGCTTAGAGTATTATTATTATTATTATGTTATTATGTATATAGCGCCAACAAATTCCGCAGCGCTTTACAGTGAATAGACAAACAAACATGTAGTTGTAGCCAGACAAGTTGGACACACAGGAATAGAGAGGTTGAGGGCCCTGCTCAATGAGTTTACATGCTAGAGGGAGTGGGGTAAAGTGAGACAAAAGGTAAGGATAGTATTAGACTAATGACAGTTGCACGGGAGGAATCAGTCGGGACTCGGGAGCTATTAACAGTGTAATTAATACGCTTTTATGAAGAAGTGGGTTTTTAATGATTTTTTGAAGTAGTGGAGACTAGGTGAGTATCTAACGGAGGAGGGAAGTGAGTTCCACAGGAACGGTGCAGCCCCTGAGAAGTCTTGAAGGTGAGCATCAGAGGTGGGAGTATGGACAGAAGATAGATGTAAGTCTTCATCAGAGTGTAAGGGCTTAGGGAGTACGGACAGAAGATAGACGTAAGTCTTCAGCAGAGCGTAAGGGCTTAGATGGGATATACTTGTGTATTAGGGAGGATAGATATGTGAGAGCAACATTATCTAGAGATTTGAAAGCAAGAACCAGAATTTTAAATTGAGCCCTATATCTTAAAGGAAGCCAATGTAGGGACTGACAGAAGGGTAAGGCGTGGGAGGTGCAGGCAGACAGGAAGATGAGCCTCGCCGCTTCATTCATTATGGACTGTAACTGCGCAAATTGGGAGCATGTAAGACCACTGAGAAGTGGATTACAGTAGTCAAGGTGAGAAAGGGCAGTGGAATGGACCAGCACCTTAGTCGCATCTGGCGTTAAGTAGGGTCGGATGCGCACAATGTTTTTGAGATGTAAGCAGCAGGGTTTGGCGATAGCCTGAACATGACGCATGAAGGAGAGGTCGGAGTCAAAGAGACCACCTTTGTGGTGGAGCTGATGGTAGCACTGTTGACTTGGAGGGAGACAAACACAGGAATAGCAACACTTGAGGGAGGAAAGACAAGAATTTCAGTTTTGGTCAGGTTGAGTTTAAGGAAGTGAGCAGCCATCCAGTTAGAAATAGCAGAGAGGCAGTCAGAGACTCTAGTCAAGAGGGAGGGGGAGAGATCAGGAGAGGACAGACAGATTTCTGTGTCATCCATATAGAAATGTTATTGGAAGCCAAAGGAGCTAATGAGTTTACCAAGGGAGGCAGTATAAATGGAGAACAGTAGGGGACCAAGGACTGAACCTTGGGGGACACCAACAGAGAGGAGTTGGGGAGAAGAAGCAGAGCCAAAAAAAGAAAACTTAAAAGAGCACTGGGAGAGGTAGGAGGAGCACCAGGAGAGAGCAATATCTTGTAGACCGATATTGCGGAGGATGAGAAGAAGCTGTTGATGATCAACAATGTCAAGAGCCGCAAAAAGGTCAAGGAGAATTAGGATAGAGTAGTGGCCACAAGATTTCGCAGTGAGTAGATCATTGGATACTTTGGTCAGTACCGTTTCCACAGAGTGCTTAGCGAGGAAACCGGACTGAAGTGGGTCTACCAGAGAGTTGGACTTGAGAAAGTCTGTCAATCTCGCATACACAACTCCTTCAAGGATCTTGGACGCAAAAGGCAGTAGTGAGATAGGACGGCAGTTGGACAGGGAGTTGGAGTCAAGGTTGGGCTTCTTTAGAATTGGAGTTAGAGTTGCATGTTTAAAGGGTGATGGAAATATGCCAGAAGAGAGAGAGAGATTGAGAATTTTAGTGAGTGGTAAAGAAAGAGAAGAAGATGCGAGGGAATTGGATCTAGGGAGCAAGTGGTGGGGCAGGAGGACTGGAGCAGAGCAGAAACCTCTTCCGCTGTAGTGAGTGCAAATGAACATAGAACAGCAGAGGGAGTGAAGTTAGGGGAAGTATTGTAAGGGGAGGGAGAAATATAAGAGATTTCTTCCCTGATTGTAGAGATATTGTCAGTGAAGTGAGTTGCAAAGTCTGAGGCGGCCAAGTTAGTAGGTGGAGGAGGAACAATAGGGCGAAGAAGAGAGTTAAATGTGTGAAATAGTTGTTTGGGTTCATGGGAGAGTGTGGTTATGAGGGTATTGAAGTAATTTACTTTTGCAGAGGAAAGAGCCAAGCTGTATGAGCACAGCATAAATTTATAGTGGAGAAAGTCAGATGCACAGTGAGACTTTCTCCAACAGCATTCAGCAGTTCTGGAGCATTTTTGGAGGTATCTAGTCAGCTTGGTGTGCCAGGTTGTTGTTGGGGGCGCTTGCTGCGTTTAAATTTAGGAGGTGCAATGATGTCTAGTTGAGAGGAGAGGGTGGAATTGTAGAAGGGGGTTGCAGAGCTAGGATAGGAGAGTACCCCTTTATTTCTTCCAGTATTTGTAACAATGAAAAAAATTAAAAATGCTCTTCGGTGCAGTCTAATTTTAAAAGCGTTTTGAATTTCTCATCACGAAAACAAGCCTTTAATGACAAATATATGAGTTTCAAGTCTGTATGGGAGCAATTATATAAAAGCAGGTTTTGCTAGAAGAAGTGAACGTCCTAACTGTTTTTGATATGACCAATAGGGATCATTAATTAATTTGCACATACTGGTTCAATTAGGAGTTTAGAGTCATACTACAATTAAAAATGTTATTCGGTGGATGATATTAGTAATTGTCTTGCGTACACAGTGAATCTTATTACATAAAAATTGCTCTATAAGCATTAGGTAGTTGGTGTTTTTATGCTTTTAACATTTTATGGGTCTAGCAATTTATTATAATGGCTTTGCTCCTACTTTCTGTTTTGTAGAGATTAAGAATGAATATGCTAGATAGGCAGTGAAAGAGAAAGGTACTCTGTAGATGGGATAACAAAAAAGATATAGATGAAATAAAATAAAAAGCATATAGGATTTAAAAAAAAATGAAAATAGAAAATGTTGAAATTTTAAGTGATGGAAAACAATGAACTTTTTCTCAAAACCAGAAAGTTGAACTTGGTGGATTTGCATCTTTTTGAAACCTAGATTACTATGTAACTGTGTAACTATAATGCAGATACAGTACATATAACCATGAGACCAAAGTTTAAAAGGGTTATTTACTAAAGTAAAGATCAAACTAGCCAAACTGGAAAAATTCTCTGTCAGCTATACTTTCAGTTCGTGCATTCTGCTTTAAACGGTCATGCTGAACTTACCTCTCTCCTATTGTTCCCTCTTCTCTTCCCCTCTCAGAATCTATACTTTTTTTCATCATTTCTGATCTAGTTTTCTTTAAAACACAAGATAAAGTAGGAAGTATTTTTCCTATGCCTGACTTTCTCTGACACAAGGAGGCAGGGCCGTCTTTAACGCGGGGCAAACGGGGCAGCTGCCCCGGGCCCAATTACTCCTGGGGGCCCAAGGCAGCTGTCCCGTGGGCCCCGCTGCCCTAAAAAAATAAAATGTTTCCCGGCCGCTTTAGGGCCCCCCCGCACTGTAAGGAGTCCCACCGGGTGGCCCATGCACTTAGGGCCACCCGGTGGGCTTGTACCAGCAGGGGCCCGGTCGGGCGCTGTGGCCCTTTAACAGCGCGACCGGGCCTCTTGCTTTTCGGCACCGCTGGGAGGAAGTGAGTGCCAAGCGTCACTTCCTCCCATAAAGAGCTGCTGCGCGGGAGAAGGACCTGCACGGGAGGGAGGAGGAGGCAGTGAGGATGGGGGCTCCTCACTCACATCATCCTCAGGCAGCACACTGGATCCCAGGGATGCCACCCTCCAGCAAAAGGTAGGAAACTGGAGGGTGGGCTTAAAATGTAAATTTTACATGTATGTCAGTTTGTCTGTGTGTATGTGTCAGTATGTCTGATAGTGTATGTGTCTGTGTGTGTCAGTATGTCTGTGTGTATGTGTGTCAGTATGTCTGTGTGTATGTGTGTCAGTATGTCTGATAGTGTGTGTGTGTCAGTATGTCTGACAGTGTGTCTGTGTGTGTGTGTGTGTGTCAGTATGTCTGACAGTGTATGTGTCTGTGTGTGTCAGTATGTCTGTGTATGTCAGTATGTCTGATAGTGTATGTGTGTATGTCAGTATGTTTGACAGTGTCTGTATCTGTGTGTGTGTGTCAGAAGGTCTGTGTGAGTGTATGTCAGTATGTATCTGTGTGTCAGTATGTCT